GAATCAAAAAGACAAAAAATAGAAATGAATATTTCACCAGGGTTACCCCTACAATTTGTAGGTAGTGACAATATCAAGGGGTTTGTTTAAAAAAGTGAGTTGATTTGTTATATTGAAATGTCTCCTGGATGAGGAAAAACACATGCACACAGTTTAACATTAATTGACAAAAGATTATCTTGAAGCCAACCATGAAATGTCTGAAGATCTGCTTGTAACTGACTATTAATAGATTCAATATTGAAATCAGACAAAAAAAGAACAGTATCATCAGTATGCATTAAAATATTTGAATACTTCAATATTTTTGGAAGGTCATTTATGTATAATAGGAAAAGCAATGGGCCCAGTATGCTACCCTGTGGAACTCCCACGGAACAGGGCAGAGACCCGGACACAGAGCTTCCATGCTTCACAACCTGACACCTATCAGTCAAATAAGAGGAAAAAATTTATATTGCAGATGATGAAAGTTGAAAAGATATCAACTTTTGTAAGAGAGTATAATGATCAACTGTGTCAAATGCTTTACGATTCTGGTTCTGCTTCAGCTGCAAACTTCCTAGATTCCCAGTAGTATGTATGTGTACTTTTACTTTAGGTGTGCTTCTTGCTCTGAACTGCTTCGTCTTGAACTTAGTTTTATGGCGTTTTTATTTTCAGGGCACCCGTGGCTCACCAGGGTTGCGAGGTCTTCGTGGAAAACCTGGACCCCAGGTATTTTCTGTTCCCTTATCAAACTCTGCATGTCTTTTGAGAGGAAAATAAGCATATTAGTTTAAGTAAATATGCATTCCTGACAACTAGGGCCAACTGTGGCATAGGCAGCATAGACAAATACTAAGGGTGCCGTCCATCTAGGGGGCGCCACAAATGGTAGATGAAAAGATTTTTTTTCAGAATATAGTTGATTTAGTCTGTAGAATAATCACTAGTTATTCAAGTTTTTGAGGCTAGCATGTTCTGTGGGATTCTCAGCCTGCTTTGTTACTACATGAGGTGTTATATAGTGCAGAGGATATTTGGTGATCAAAGTATCAAATGATGCAAGACTAATTGCTGTTGCTGAATGTGTGAGCAGAAAGCAAAATAAGGATAATAGAAGTTTCAGTTTTGACTTCAAATAAAATTCAGGTTGTAGTCATGTTTTTAGTGTTCTACCTTCATAAAATACTGGTTTTATGTTGTTTTATTAATTCCATACATTTAGTAAAATGCTCTTCAAATGACTGGAAAATGCAGTTTTGTGTAGATTATTTTACAAAATGTGAGTACCCGTGAACCCCCCTAGAACTGCTTCTCTCCACAGCTACTCGTTAATAAAAGCAGGTGTTCCTTGTCAGCAGATGTTGGCAGGTATGAGGTAGACTTGTGGCATTCTGTATCAAATAAATTATATTGTTAACAATTTTAAGTGAACAACCTGGTTTCTAATAATAACATCATAAACTAAAATATTTAATTTGTTATGTGAATGCATGTACCGTATTTATTCAAGTGTAATGCGTAAAATTTAATCCATAAAATCATCCATAAAGTTGGGGGGTAGTATTATACTCAGATAAATATTTTTACTTATGTATTTTAACTGAAATATCGGCAAAATTATTGAGTCCGAAAATGAGGCCGCGCTGTAAAAAGCAGTTGAAACGAGCTTACCTGTGACACTCCTCTGCTTCAAAGCGAGATAGTAACAGATCCAAGCAGGCGACATGATGTGAAAAAATAGGGGTAAAAAAAGTAGTCCTTAACCTTAGTAATGATAACAAACTAATGACATTAGCGTGTGACCGAGCCGCTGCTTGGACAACAAAAAACACACATGGCTGCCGTCGACCGGTGTTATAAAAAAGTTTGTATCCCTGAAAAAAGTTTGTCCACCAGAGGGGGCGCTTGCGAGTAGGAAGTAATCTGCTTTTCCCTCAGAAAATCTCATGTGAAGTCTCTGACTTTTGTGTTGGCGCCTCCTGGTGGACTATGTGTAAAATGCCAGAATTCATATGATGCTGCTACAGCTGATCTATTTAGTACATATGTTGTTAAAATAAAATGAACAGTCCAATGATCATTTTACTGATATGTATAAAGACTGCAAAGGCTGAAAAATCTTGAAGTCTGCATGAAATTGGAGATAGTTTGAGGATTCAATTTTTCATGCTTTTTAAGCTCAAAAAAGGGGGGGGGGTCGTATTATACATGAGATCGTATTATACATGAATAAATACGGTATGTAAATCGGCACAAGAGGGCCCCACCTAAACTCTTGCCTCGGGCACCAAATTGGCCAGGGCCAGCCCTGCTGACAACACATTTCTCCTCATATTCAAGACATATTTTATATTAAATTAATAAATTGTTACTTTTACAAAATGTTTACAATTTCATTGCTGTGGTGTTAATTATTATTCTTTTTTTTCTTATGTTAAAATTTCCTAGGGTAAACACGGTGATAAAGGCCCCGATGGTACACATGGTCCTCCTGGCCCAGAAGTGAGACAAACTTGTGTTGTCCTTTGTAGTTTTAATTTTTGCAGTTTTATATAAAAGAGTAAATTAAATAAATAAGTTCTACCTTATTGTATGTCAGTGCGAAGCTGTGAATAAGTGGTTATACTGTATATGTGATATTTACAGGGCTTCCCGGGTGACATTGGCCCACCAGGACAAAACGGCCCTGAGGGACCGAAGGTTGGTGAAGTAACTTGAACTCAATTCTGTCTCGACAAATGAAATGAATTTTCACCTTCAGCACTTCGTCCGCAGGGACATGAAGGGATGAGAGGTTTACCAGGCCCGGCAGGAAAACCTGGCCCTCAGGTGGGATTCTCTTTTTTTTTTAACCCTGAAAATGAGCTATATATACATGATATGTGTTTTTCTTGACCAATATCATCATTTTCTTTTGTTCTCTCAGGGTGATGAGGGACCAGTCGGGCCAGCAGGACCTGCCGGAGCTGAGGTGAGTGCTGATTGGAGGAGCCCTGCACACGACACAGTCAGGGGTTTCACACAGACGCCACATAATGTGGCTCGGCTTAAATTTAGCTTTGAATAACTGAGCAGTTTGTAGATCTCTGGCTGACTGATTCTTCTATTGTTTCAATCCTGATGTCCCTCTGGCTGCTGCGAGCTCATTTTACCCAAAGTGGTTAGCAAATTGCTACAGAGTTTTCTACTATAAACCCACACACAGTCACAAAGAAAGACAAAACAAACATAAAAACAAAATCCTAAATGGATCTAAAGATGAGCACAACAAAAAAGTAATGTTTTATTTCCAACTGAAAAGGTAAATTGATATATGTTGTTCAGTCAATTTTTTAATGGTAAAAAGCAAATGGATGAAAAACAGGAAAAGCATCACATTATTGGCATATTTGCATTATCAATCAAACTTCATAAAATCCTATTTAAAAAATCTTGTCAGTCTGATACATAGACAGAAAAAGATGCATTTTGAAAACTTATATTGAAAGACTATTACTAAATTACTGCTGCCAGTCTTTGGCCAGGATTCTCTTGCAAAAGAGATTTTTAATGTCAATGGGATTTTCCTGGAGAAATAAAGTTTTAAGGGGGCAATATCATGTAAAATCAACTTTTTGGAGTTTTATATCATGTTATAATTTTACACTCTCATAAAAAAAACATGCCCAAAGCCTTGCTTTGACTCATTCATACATGTTTGAGAAATCCTGCAG